TTTATAGTGCAATTTCAATATTAGTATTAGTAGAAATAAGGATGCATGTTTCATGTACAATTGTATTAAGGTCAGGAAAATATTTATAGTGTAATTTCAATTAATATTATTATTTAGAGATTCTGTAAAATAATAAATAGCTAGAATTGTATTACGAATAGGAAATATTTATAATTTTAATCTAAATGATTTCAATTTCAATATTATTATTTGCAGAAATATTGATGCATGTTTCATGTACAATTGTATTAAGGTTAGAAAAATATTTATAGTGTAATTTCAATCAATATTATTATTTGGAGATTCTGTAAAATAATAAGTAAAATTATATTACAGATAGGAAAGTATTTATACTGTAGTTTTTCCCAAAAATTGTAATTCTTCTTAGTCAGTAGCTTTCAAAAAAAAAAAAAAAAAAAAAAACAGGTTTCTACACAAAAGAATCCTATGTCCAACAGATCCAATTAAAAAAAAATTAGGCTAAAGTGTTATCCCGCACCATGAACCATTACTAATTATTCATGCCGCACCATGATCTTTAATAATTAATATTTCGAGCCATAAACCAATTTTTTTTTTTTTTCGCCTAGCATTTTTTGTAGGTTTTCCGGTAAAGAGTATGACATGGCACCGGTTTTAGATGCTTTGGACTTATTTGTTAGTGACGTGACTTTAATTAAATGAGATGAAGTCCATGTAAGCTTACTCAAATAAAGAATAAAAAAAAAATAATAGGGGGTGAAGTTGGCGTGGCTGTATTCCGACGCTCCAAATTAAAGACGTGGGAATCGAGGTCGGTTCGCCAGAGCTTCTCGACGTCGTCGACAACGATGAGGTCGGAATCGAAGTAGTCAATGTTTCTAAAATCCTTTCATTGTTACTGATTTGCTTTTTGAATTATTGAATGAGCTGGCCTGTTGAGGGATTGGAGGTCAATTACTGCAAAAATTTGCCTGAATTGGTGTATGGATGAATGATTTCGTTTTTGAAGTAGCTGTATCATATCATCTTACTGAAACCCTTACTTTTTCCACGATTTGTTGTTGTTTGATAGTTGTTGGTTTCGTGTCGATTTGGTTTGTTTTGCTCCATTGAAATGTTTTGTTCATTGATGGAAGATTCTCCAGATCATGATAATGGTTGTTTCTCTGTCTGCAAAATCTACTGAAGTAATTGTATTGCTTACTGTAACACCCCAGATTTTCAAGACTTTTTAAAACTTATAATAAAGGTAGAATCTCATTAAATCCCAAGAAATAAATACAAGCGTACGGGGTGCTATGCCACACCTGGGCTAGAGAACCCAAGTGCACAGGCTAACTAACTAATACCCTCAAAGCGTAATTACGTAAACGTGGCACGCAGGCCAAAAGGGAAAACTATCTACTTCTATACTCCAAGTTCTAGCGCGCTCCAGTGACTTAATCTTTTGTGCCTGAAAGCCAAATATATCTGTTCAGCGAGAGATGCTGGTAACCCACTCCAACGCGTTGAAATACAATACATATAGAGATATATATATAGATATACGAAAATCATTTTGAGCATGAAGATATATCCTACGAACTCTAGATTTAAAAACCGGGAATGACTCGACAGATAAGGCCAGATACAAGCAACAGTTATAACGAGCATATGCAGTTCACAACAGATAAGGCAGATAAGGCAAAGCATAAACAATGATCATAACCCAACATGAACAATCCCCAATATAAATCCCATAGTCACATCCCCCAAGACACTCGTAATCACAACTCGTCCATGTCACAACACATAACACACTTTGTTGGCGCCACAGGACCAATCGCATGCCCATACATGAGGGTCAGCGCATATAGCTCTGACACGGCCCCGCAGCACCCTGCCCCGTATCGCAACACGGAGGAGTCGATCGTAACCGACCGATGAACCGCAGCTCATCATAGTGTTTGATCGCAACCAAACAGTGGACCGCAGCCCAAGAGAATGTCATCTGACCGCAGCCAGGAAAAAGGACGAACCGCAGCTCGTATAGAAACGTTTGATCGCAACCAAACGGTGGACCGCAGCCCAAGAGTATCAATCTGACCGCAGCCAGCTTCTGAACCGCAGCTCAGGATAACCAATCCGATCGCAACCGAATTGGGGTAACACCCACACATAACACATAGCAAGCACATGCAACCCATATTACACATTGGGAAGGGGGAGAAAGCGCATAACAAAACCTATGCGTGATCCATCACATACTAAGAATAGTCCTAAGGGGTTCATACTCCTTCCACCTAGGTCAACGGGATACCAATTCAACTAGCATGCAATATAATAGACTCATAAACCTACGAACGGTACCCGAAACATCAAACTAGACATAGGCACGATAAACAGAGTCTGTTGGGACACCACGGGGAACAGGGGAACATCAAACGGGGAAGCCGGGAACCCAAGGTGGGGGAATTTCCAGCGGGTAGCCGGTGGGTGGGGGGCCACTCGCCGGCTGCCCGCCGGAAAGTACTGTTCCGGGCAGCGGGTCGCCGGCGGGCAGCTGCCCGCCCGCCGGCTACCCGCTGCCGGGCGGTGTTTCACGGCCATGGGTAGGTGGCGGGTCCCCTACCCCCACTGACTCTTTTCATCACTTCTGCGCCCCGGGAACCATTGTGGAACCCGAAACCATGCTTAGACACCTTACAACGCAATTAACGACAACACGTAGACAATTAACGGATCAAATACGAGAAACGAACGGCACATAACCTATCATGCTTTTCTAGACATAATCAACACCCAAACATGCGATTTCCCCACCCCACAATCCAAGAATCATAACATACGATACAACCTAGGGTTCTAATCACTTTTATATCAACAAGGATACGATTCGTCTTCTAATTGCAACATTCGGTAAGAATAACACATAACCATCAAGAGCATCACACAATTATCAAGAACAACACATAATCATCAAGAACTCCATATAATCATCAAGAACACCATAATTATCAAGAATCTCCCAATATCAAGATTATCAAGATCCCTCATGGGATCATCAAATCAAGCATCAATAATAATCATCAGATCTCGCCATTCACAGTAATATGGGGGAAACCCTAAGGGGGAATCATAGCTATGAAAATAGGTTTTGTTGAGACATGGGTTACCTCTTAGCCTTAATTAATTCCTTGGCTATGAAGGATCTTTCTTTAAGCTTTCTTGATTTCTTGATTTCTCCTAAGGGGATTCTTGGAATTCTTTGGGTGGTGAGGGATTATTGTGGTGAGGATTCTAGGTGCCTCCTAAGTTCCCTATTTATATATTTAAGACTCCTAGTTAGGGCCTGAATGGTATGGGTTTACTAATTCTATTCCTTATAGGGCTAGGGCTTGTTTTAGGGATAAGGGTCCATGGTCCATAGTGGACCATATTAATTAAAGAGGATCCTAATCCTAATCTGAATAGTAAAAGGCCTACTTCCTTTATTCCTAACAGGCTTAAGATTCTTATTCGGGCAAGGGTCCACGGTTCATGGTGGACCTTACTAATTAATTAAAGGTAAACCTAACATAATTAAATCATATTTAATTATTATTAACGGGATTAATTAAATAATTAATCCGGGATTGAAGGCCGTAACACGGGGTGTTACACTTACCAAAACAATCCAATAAACATAAAAGAGGTTTGTGAAGTTGATGTTCATAACTGATATAATATTCTCACTAAAAAAAATCAGTTAGATTAGCAACATAAATTTGGTTCATTGATGGAAGATTCTTGGCATCTAGAATAAAGAAAGTTAAGACGTCAAATTTCAAACAGTTAATTCCATGGAATCAGTTGGCAATCAGGCACCTTCATATCCTAAAGTCAGGATAATCTGAATCAGGCAAACACATTTATACACATAGTGTTGCACTTAGAATCACTTGGCAGAATCCCTTAAAGACAGCAATATTCTGAAGTCCACAGAAGTATCTTCTCCTTCTTATATCTTCTCTTCCGGAATGCTAGAGTTTCTTGGAATTTCGCCTGCTTAGTAGAAGCGCCGGCGGCGAGTCAAAAGAGGGAGAGGAGGACGGTGGTTAGGAGATGGTGTTGAGATGCAATCATCCATGTGTAACCTCATTTCTTCTCGTCTTCATGGAAATTCCGTCACACATAATGCTATGATCAAGGTGCTAGAAGTAAAAAGAAAAAAAAAGTCCATGTCAGCATTTTATTACCTGTAACTTGTAGGTAACCTACAAAAAATGTTAAGCGGAAAAAAAAATTGATTTATGACTCAAAATATCACTTATTAAAAATTATGATGAGGCATGAATAATCGAAAATAGTTCATGATTCGGGATGACACTTGAACCAAAAATTTAATAAGAACGTATGCCAAATTATAAAGGTCAATTGTACCCACGTGTTCGACTTAATTTACAAAATAATCAGGCTATAAATAGGGCTAGAACCAATCGTTATACCCTACACCACGGCGCACATAGCACTGTGGGTCGCACGCCTCCCAAAACGACGTCGTTTTGGGATCGTTTTGGGATGCGCGGTAGAAAGTTGCTGGGATTATGTGTATTTGTTCATAGTATGTGTATTGATTCATACAGCTATGTACATTTTTTTATACAATTATGTACATTCTTTTTATACAATTATGTACATCCGAATCAGAAAATTTGTGTGTATTATGTTAATAGTTGATGTGTATTATGTTAAAAGTTTATGTTTATTATGTATTATGTTAGATTATGTGTATTATATTTTAAAAAGAGTATGTATATTTTGTTATATAATTATGTACATTCATGTATACAATTATGTGTATTCTAGTATAACATTATGTACATTCTTGAACAGCGGGTTTTTTTTTAAAGAAAAAAACTACTGCCATTCACTGGGGCGGGAAATTTAAAAAAAAAATAAAAAAATTAAAACGACGTCGTTTTGCATCTGGGCGCATAGTGCAACGCGCACCGTGGTGTAGGATATAAATTGCCGGCTAGAACCCCGGGCCCCCGCCCCGCCCTTCCTCTCCCTCCCGGTCCGGTCCGGTCCCTCAATAAAAGGAAATCTGAGAAATAGAAACCCTAATTATAGTAAAGCTTTAGAGTTTGGAGCTGAATTCACAGACGGCGAAGAAAGGGGGAAAATGGCGGAGCACTTGGCGTCCATATTCGGAACAGAGAAGGACAGGGTGAACTGCCCCTTCTACTTCAAGATTGGCGCTTGCCGCCACGGCGACCGCTGCTCTCGCCTCCACACCAAGCCCAGCATCAGCCCCACCCTCCTCCTCTCCAACATGTACCAGCGCCCCGACATGATTACTCCCGGCGTTGACCCTCAAGGTCAGCCTCTCGATCCCCGCAAGATCCAACACCACTTCGAGGTAGGTACCTATGTTTGGGCTTTTCAATGTTCTTAATTTATGTGTGAGACACTCTCCGTTAATTGGTACTTTTAGCCTTTAGGTATTTTCATTGGATTCCCTGTGATTTCTTGCTGCAAGCTTTTAGCTTTCTTTTGGTGTAATTGTTGACATAATTCTGAATATGCAGGACTTCTATGAGGATTTGTTTGAGGAGCTTAGTAAATACGGAGAGATTGAGAATCTTAACATCTGTGATAATTTAGCAGACCACATGGTATGCTTTACTTGCTATTCTGGAAAAAAAGGTTTGGTATTTTAATTTTTGTTAACTATTTTCTTGCTATTAGGTGGGCAATGTGTATGTACAGTTCAGGGAGGAGGAACATGCTGCTACTGCCCTTCAGAATCTGTCAGGAAGGTTCTATGCAGGTTAGTCTTACTCATTTTTTATAATCTTAATCTTGTGAACTTACTAAGTTTGGATCTATGCCCTTCTTGTTCTGTCATATTTTCTGGTGCCACATTAGTTTTCTATTAATTTCTCTCTAGAAATATCACAAGGAAATGCTAACAGTTCTTTACAAACCTGTAACTAAGATCAATCTCCAAAAGCATACTATATGATGTTGACTGGAAATGCTAGTGTAGAAGGTGTCTGTTGATGCAATGATTTGGAATGATGGTAATATGTGCCTAAACAAAATGATTGATTTTAATTCAGTATCAAAAGAAACCTATTTGTTTGATTTAGGGCATAATCACTGATTCACGGTCACTACTATATCATGCTTCCTAATGTAGTTCCATTTAAAGGGCTAGTCAGAATCCTGTTTTTGTTTTTGCTGATCATCATTAAAATTTAATGTATGTTTAGGGCGCCCTATTATTGTTGACTTCTCGCCAGTGACCGACTTTCGTGAAGCAACTTGTAGGCAGTATGAGGAAAATGTGTGTAACCGAGGTGGCTATTGCAACTTCATGCATCTGAAAAAGATTAGCAGGTGTGTTTGTGTCTCTCTCTTTCATATACACAGTATATCGATACCTCAATTCTTATGTATGGTGTGATTGGTTGTTTTCTTTCCTTTTGAAGAGAGCTGAGGCGGCAGTTATTTGGGAAGAGCAGGCGAAGACGCAGCCATAGTAGAAGCAGAAGTCCTCGTGGTCATCATGGTCATGATGAGCGGCCATATGGTGGCCGTGGATATCCTAGAAGAGGTGGCGATCATCGTCACCATGAACGAGGGAGGAGACCACGAAGCAGAAGTCCTGGTAGAAGAAGTGGACATAGCAGAAGTCCTGGTGGTAGGAGAAATAGGAGTCCAGTCAGGGAAGGTAGTGCTGAGAGAAGGGCAAAGATTGAACAATGGAATAGGGAAAGGGAACAACCTGACAAGAATGATAATAGTGGTATGGTAAGGGAAGGTAGTGCTGAGAGAAGGGCAAAGATTGAGCAGTGGAATAGGGAAAGAGAACAGACTGATTCGGCTAAGAACAATGATGTTGGCACATTTGAAAATGGCAGTAGGAATGGTGCTGAGCACCACCCAGAACAGTTTTATGATGATTATCAGCAGCAGCAATAGCTGGAGATATTCCAGAAAACTACTGGTAGTTCTTTATTCTTTCTCTTGCTTTTTAATTTATTTATTCTCAATCTCAAGTGTTTCTACCTTTGGAGTCAAATATGTTTTGTGGAAAGCGGCCCTTTTTTAAAAAATATACTACGTAACTCACTGCCCATTTTCCACTGTGCAGGTGATGTACAGGCTCACTGTATTGTGATATTGAAAAAGCAAAATCTCTTTAGTCCTTTCCTCCTATGTGTTAAAGAGCATTAACTTTATATAAGAGGGAGAACAAATAAGCCAACCTATTGTATCTTGATTCATTATTTTCTTCTTTTTCTTCAACAATTAACATTCTAATTTTGTTGCCTTAATTTACTCATCAGAGAAGTTATTTTAATTACAATATGCTGTAAAATGTTTTTTTTTCCCACTTAAATTCTTACTATGCATTCTCACTTTGTGTGTGTGTACCTGCAATAGGCTTCAAAATAATTTTTTTTTTTAAACTATAAATAAAAAAAGTGGGTTTTAAGTATTTCCATGAAAGACCTTCATACAGTTATAGGAGCACTTTCCTCTTTCCTAAGGTCAAATTACAGAGGATTGTGTTCTTTATCCTTTCCTTTGGAATACTGTGACTAATTGTGTTCTTATTAAGAGTTTTGTATTGTGATCTTATGCATTTGTGAAGATTTACAGGTCCAGAGGTACCTGCTCAATGATCCTGCCTCATGTTTCACCAGCTCACTGTTACATTTCTATACAGGTTGGCTGTCTTCTTTGCAGAACAGGTCCACAGGATTTAAATGTGTGATGTAAGGAGAAGTGAAGGAACTGTCTACTTTCAAACATGTCAAGTGCTAATGTCTGCTTTCTAGAGAGCTAAAGGTTGCAACCCAGAATTCAATTCGATCCTATTTGTGTTGACCTTGCTTATGTTGTATTGTCTTTTTGAATTTTGTTGTTTCATAATGTTCTTGGATTGATGCATAAAAGATTGTTATGTTTTCATAGTATCCCTTTATGCTTTGTTGGATTGAAACTGTATTATTAAGTAATACTGGCTGTGGCTTTGCAAGTGTTTTAATGTTTTAAAGTGAAATTCTTAGCAAAATGGCAAAGCCTGAGTACCCTCAACTTTGGTACCTTTTTTTTTTTTTTTTTTGGGGGGGGGGGGGGGGGGGGGTTATTATTTGAATTTATTCTTCATTGCCGTTCATTTATATTAAATATTTTAAATTTTTCTATTATTATGTTCAATGATCATCTTTATTTTTTTTGAAAGGAATGATCATCTTTTAATAGCATATATATGTTTTTTTTTTTTGAAAACAATAGCATATATATGTTGACTGAACTGTAATTCTGAAAGTTCATTTCATTTAAATTAGAGTTAATTCCAGTAATGGCACTCTGATTATTGGGATTTTTCAAAATTGGTTCTCATATTTTAATTTGGATAAAAAAGACACTTGATTTTCAGATTTGTTCCAGCATTGGTCCTACTGTTAACTTTCAGTTTGTTAGGTGTTAGTGTGGAGGTTAAAATGGTCATTTCATTAGCTATCATCTTTACCATTTCCTCCTGATTGATCTGTGATTTTCCCAGAGCCAGATACAAGCTCTGTTTTCCAAAAAAAAAAAAAAAGCTCTGTTTTCCAAAAAAAAAATTCAAAAAAAAATCTACAAGCTCTAGAAGGCACTGCATCTTTATCTCCTTCTCCCTAACCATCTTCAGCACATCCGTGAAAAAGTGAAAATAGCAAATCTGAAGCTTTCTGGAAAACAAGTTCTGCCGCTGTAACACCGGCACATTTGGGAACAACGGCAGGGCCTCGAATGTCCACGGCACCGGCGCTCGCATAGATGGAAGATGCAACGACGGTGTTGAATTTCCCAACGAGCTACCCCTTGAAGCATGATTTACCACCACACCAGATGCGGAGACCGACCAATAACCCCCAAAGTCTTTGGCGTCCGGTTTGGGCACCTTCTTGTGCCCTCTCTTCATAATTTTGTTCAACATATTAACTCTAAACCTACCCCCTAAACTATGTAAATTGCAGCGAAATTTCAAATAAAAATTCAAGCTTGTCAAACAAGTATAGACTAGCCCTTAACAGCAAAACAAATTAGTACATATACGAGAGAGGAAGAAGAGAAGCGTATTGGAACTATAAACGTTGACTATAGCGGCGAAGCACGAGGGCCGGAGAAGGCAAGAGAAGGCGGTCCGATGGAGCAAGTTTTTCGTCGATCAAGTTCTCCTTTACTGAAGAAACATAGCCAATGAAATGACCATTTTAACCCCTACACTAACGACTAACAAACTGAAAGTTAACGGAAGGACCAATACTGGAACAAATCTAAAAGTCAAGTGTCTTTTTCGTCCAAATTAAAAGACGATGACCAATTTTAAAAAATCATAATAGTCGGAGGACCATTGCTGGAATTAACTCTTTAAACTATTACGGAGTAGTAAACTTCATTAATGATAGTATTAAAATAGAAAGTAGCAAGTGTTCTGCCTTTACCGGTTAGGTTGTATGTTTTTGAGTTGTGACGCACAGTTAAACTTATTCTTAATATATATTATTGTGCTTTTTATTATTTTTCATGTTTATTTTTGGAAAATATTTTTTTTATCCCTTCTGAATTTTCTTTCTTATATTTTTCCTTGTGATGTGATTTTCATTCATTAGGTGCTCTTGAATTGATTGATTTCACGACTAATTAAAAAAGATATTTAATTAATAATCAAATGAATCATGATGCTACTACATCTAGAGAGAAAATGTGTAGTGAAATGCAGGAGAGTATGCAATATTACTCTAAGGGGGCGTTTGGTTCGGGTCATATGAGATTACCTAAGTAATCTGAATCTGGTAATGTTATATTACCTTGTTTGGTTCAAGTTATGAGATTACCAGATAATGTTATATTACCCGAAAGCTGATGTGGCGGTAATGTTTCAAGGTAATGTGATTACCCCCATTTTATTAGGTAATCTTAGATTATCTTGATTTATTTCAACATTGTCCTTGTTAACTAATCCTTATATTATTATAATAATAATAATAATAATAATAATAATAATAATAATAATAATAATAATAATAATAATAATAATAATAATAATAATTGCGGCGGATAGGTATAGGGAAGACATATTGTTCTCTAATATAAAAGGGAACGTGGCTGGGGGTAGGCAAGAGGATTAACCCAACGGAATTTTTCTCATACCGTATTCATCCAAGAATCTCTGAAGTGTCAACATTATTACATGCGAGAAGGTTATTCTAGCAATTCTTAGTGGATGGTTATACAATGGTGGAGTGAGGAAAATTAATCTATATTAAGACACCAAAAAAAATTTATGATGTGAAACTTACAATTGTTTGACAGATGCTTTGACACGTGCTGAGGTTGACCTTAATACCCAAGGGAGAAGAATAATTCTATCGTCGAGTATTACTGACGGCGCAAGGTACATGATACAGAACTACATACCATGATGCTATGGCTATATGTAAATGGATTGGGTACCCATATCTATTTATTACTTTCACATGCAACCCAAAATCGCCCGAGGTTCAACATTTTCTTAAGGATAATCGGCTAAAAGCAGAAGACCGGCCTGATATCATTTGTAGAGTATTTTAAATGAAGTTGGACGCTTTGATAACAGATTGCCTAAAGAATAAACTATTTGGAGTTGTAGCTGGAGGTATTAAAAAACAACTTTATTATTTGTAGAGAAATATTATTACTATTATAACGATTTTGTTTGTGTCTAAATTTGTTTCGTATTTTTTTTTTTTGTTACAGTTATATATACCATTGAGTTCCAAAAGAGAGATCTTTTACATGCTCATATTCTCCTTTTTTTAGAAAAAAAATGATGTTGCCAATACTGCAGAAAGCTTAGACTCAATCATTTCAGCTAAAATTCCAAACCACGAAATGGATAGGGAGTAGTTCAATGCACTTGAAGAATTTAGGTTAAAGTGTCATCACGCACCATGAACCATTCCTAATTATTCATGCCGCACCCTAATCTTTAATAACGTATATTTAGATCCACAAACTATTATTTTTTTTCTTCGTTTAGAACTTTTTACAGGTTTCCTAGTTGTCTGATGAGCGCCGATATTTTGGTGATGTGGATTTATTTTTTATTGAATTAAAAATAAAACAAATTAGTTGGAGTCCAAACACCAAGGAGGACTGCTCGCCGGTTATAACAGGGTTTTATTTCGTCGCCACCACCGCATTTATCGCAACAGCGCCGACCACCACCACCCGTTGCTGCTGCTCGCCGAAGGAGGACTGGAGACCACTACAACGTTAACGTATCGAATGGAGCTAAGCGTTTGAACCTCGGCCTCGAACTGCTTCGACTTGACATCGCGTTCCCAGCATGGGAGTGGTGGTGAGGGATTGTCTCTGGGCGGTGGTGCTAGAGTTCCATCATTGGCGGAGCCACAATGGGGGCAGTGGGGGCAGCTGCCCCCCACTGCCCTACCCCATATAAATGGTATATATACTAAATATACTAAAATTTAAACAAAGTTTGTGTTGGCTGGGATGGTAATGCCATTAGTTTCCCACCTAATATAGTGAAAGGTTAGCAGTTCAAACCTTGTTGTTGGCATTTTTTTTATTTTTAATAATTCTAATATTTGGCATTTTTTATTTTTAATAATTCTAATATTGCCTTTTTGTAACTGTGTTTAGTTGCCATTTGTTTTTCACTGCATTCCAGTTTGTTCCTATTTATTTTTCTTTTTTTTTTTTTTCGATCTACTAATATTAACAATATTCTAATATTGTCCTTTCTAACTGTGTTTAGTTGCCATTTGTTTTTCACTTCTTATGCATTCTATTTAGTTTTCATTTGTACTGATGTAGTTGTTTAATGGTTATGTTAATTACTAAGGACGAATACATTTGCTGAAAATTCGTTAATGTTAGTTGGTATAGTTGTTTATTTGGAATAATTAGTTAATGTTAGTTAGCATATAGTTGTTTAATAATTTTATTTGTATTTGATATTTTGTATTTTGTAGTTGAACATTTTGTAATTTATTTTACCTTTGCTGTTTCGCCCCCACTCGACATAAATCCTGGCTCCGCCACTGAGTTCCATATGTGTTTCGCGACTAATTTGGTCTCGTTTTGGAGGACAATGCGGTACACGCTCCCAGGGCGGTAGAAAATAATAATGATGAAGAGTACCCATTCTCGCAGTTCACCTGCAAGAATTTCCCATTGAGATCAACCAGAAATGGCTGAGACAATTGAGGTGTTCTTTTTCGAATTTTCGAGAAGGGAGCTCTAATGGTAATGCCTTCTGAAGCTGCAATGGCAACGTTCAAGATGATCACAAGTTTCACAACAGAAAGAAACATAGAATCCATTTTTGAATTGGCTCGATGGTGATGAAGACAAAATGGAAGGGGCAAAGGATTTATAGTGTGATTTTGTGGCATATATGTTTCATGAGGTGGCCTGGTATAAGGAACTTTTGTTGCCGGGATCATGGAGATTGTGGCGGTGTTTGGTAAAAAATTGGCCTATTAGGTCAATTTTGACTTATTTGACCACTATTAATTGTTTGATTTAGTTAAAATATCAATAGAAATGTTTGGTTAATTAGTTTTTTGCAACTCCAAAAGGCTAAAATTCAAAAAGCTACTCCAAGCAACTTTTTCAATTAGCTTTTTGAGAAAAGAAATTATACCAAACAGCTATCAGCTAACAACTAATTTACCAAACACTTTTCTACGATTATTTAATCTTATCAACTATTTATACCTGATACTGCTAATTCTGTGTAAGCAATATAAAATAACACGAGACCAATTAAAGCAAGTAAAATCTTTATTGATCCCGGTAAAGGCCCTAAGTACAATCTACTTGGCTGCTCTGAGTACCGACTGACTGCGGTCGGGATTCTCTAACAACAACCTATCGATCGTCCAAAAGTCCTTTACACTGTAGCTACTGTGGGTATTTATAGCCGCTATGCCGGGGACAGGATTCCAGCCGTTCGGCATGTCCTCCACGTAGCCACCACGTGTCATCCTCCCGGGTACCCTGCCTGTCGATGTAAAGAGCCGCCACGTGTCCGTCGTCAGCTCTTTCGCCAAAGGGCTACCGCTCGGTGGTCGACACCGTCGCTCGGGCAACTCCCGGTCGGTCTACGACCGAGTTCTTCTCGTGGAGCCCGACCTGTTACCTGCAAAGACAAGGAGAAAAGGACAAAGGCTTCTCGGTCGTGGTGAAGCTATGTCGGTCGGGATATTCCCTACCAATACCCTTTAATTAACACAATCAACTAACAGCAAACAAGCTATCAGCTAACAGCCATTTTACCAAACAGGGCCTGTGTGTTGTTCTGTGGCTTTACAGCTTTGTTACTACAAATATTCAGTTTAGCCGCAGCAAAGGTTACGCGTTTGAGTTTGTAAAATGTATGTGACTGATCTCATTCAAATCTTTTGTGCAAATTAAAGGATAAAGAAAAGATCAATTCGGTCTAGTTTTGGAGGACAACGCGGTACATGCTCCCGGAACTGCCTTCTTGTTGTGGCCACGTCAACTGTTAAAATATTTTATACACTAGTACAAAAAGGAGCAAAGAAATTTGACTTTAGACTACCCTTCTTCAAACAAGGGTAGTGTATTGTTTAAAAATAAAGGACGTTAGCACACTTGTAAATAAATGAACAAGAAATCGCTACCCTTTTAAACAAAAAGATAGTGGTTGAAAAATAAGTATATGTTTTCCGCTACTTTCCTTCGTAGAAAGGTTAGCTGATAGTTATATTAATTTTAAATTAATATAATTGTCTGCTACCCTTTCTATGAGAAAGAGGAGCAGAAAATTAAAATATATAAGCCATGGATTAGCTTTATGCCTTCAGACTTCAGATCTACAAATTAAGGCCATCCAAATTTCAAACCCTTCAAATCTATCAGATCTCTTCTCATTTCAACCAAATCCACCAAAACATACAAATCTTCTCTTTTCTTCTCTTTAGTTCAACCGGCGAACCTTTAAATCTTCTCCTCTCTGCTTCTAATGAGACACCATCGGGTAGTGCTTCGACGGTGGCCTCACGACGACGCTTGTTGGTGGGGGGTAGTGCTTCGACGGCGGCGACTTGTTGGCGATTGTGACGACGACTTCGACAACCAGATTTATAGCTTGGTCGCACGGCTTCTTTGTCATTAGCCGTTCAAATCGTGAGGGAATGGTTTCGATGGCATATATCTAGTAATAAGGGTCTCACAAAGCTGTCAACACTTCTCTCTTCTCACCGGCACCACCACCAATATCCGGAACCGCCACCATCATCCCCTTTTTTTCTTCAGATCTGGAAATCCCGGAGGCCACCGCTGCTTGGTAGTCGAAGAGCCAAAGCTTCTGTACATCGCGAAGCTGTAGATGGTGAAGCGAGCAAAGACGCGGGGCGACAACGGCAACGCGAAATTGTAGAGGGCGAAGAAGAAGACTGCCGAAGCAAGAATATATGCTCGTGACTGTCATTTTTTTTTTTTTTTTTTTTTTTTTTTGCATTTCTTTAATTTTTCGTTGTTCTTATCTTCTTTCATTGTTGACTTGCATTTTGAATTACATTTTCTTTCCCTGTTCACAATGCAATTCGAGATTTCTGTAGTGTCTTTTTTTTTTTATTATTTAATTTTATTTGGTGTGTAATATTTGTTATCATTTAATTGATGTGTTAATATATAATTTGTTGATAATATTGTGTTGATGATTAATATTTTGTTGATTTGTAGTGAATGAACTTTATATATGATTAAAATGATTAGGGAATTTAAAATTAATGAATAATTATTTAAAAAAAATCTGCATTAAAAATAATAATAAATTATGATATCCGCTACCCTCATAAAAGGGACACAGAAACCGCAGGACTTTCAGCATCCCCCACATACGCTACCCTTGTACAAGGGTAGCGGATGTGTAAATCTGTACTAGTAATAGTTATTAGTTATATCAATTAATTAGGATGATTATTTTAAAATTATTTTAAATTTAGTTGGTTTGAATTATATTTATATTCATGTGGTTTGTTGGTTAGAATTAATTTATCATTATTTTTAATAATTATTTCATTCATATAGTTATAATATGTTTGTTAATGGTTATTTAAAGTGATTGCAAGCCAGATGAAATATGTAGAGTTGAATTTTTTAAGATAGAAAATAATGTGTTTTTTAGAACTTGAGATGAGTTGGGCCGTAAGATGGTCATGAAAACCTGACTTATCAAGTGTTGAACTTCACTTGTGGCGTCGTTCCTACTCCTACAGATTCGGTGTGACCCAAGTTAAACCTACCGATCCGAATTCACCTAGCCTAATAAGTCATTTTAAAATATTATTTTAAATAGAGTGTGATGAGAAGATAGGGCCAACCAGATTCGTATCACTTCTCCGACCATATTTTCTTGCTTGATCGCGTCGAGAATTTCGTCCTTCGTGAAGGTCAATGCGCGGAAGGATTTGACGGCCCAGGAGTCTTCCTTCAGAGACCGTTCATGGTCGTTCCGGCCACCGTTCTTCTTTAAGTAGAAGAAACATGCCAGCAAGGTGAGGAGCACGACGGAAATGAACAATAAACGGAGCAAGAGGGTGTGTACGGTGGGGGTGTTGCCGGATTCTCAGGAACACTTTTTGAAGTTCTTGATTTTATGGCTATAGAGTCTTGGATTTCCGGTGAAGCTGCCGTAGTTGTATAATGAAGATTTTCAAACACTGTTGAAAAACTAACTCTGAAGAATTTCTGCAGTTTCAAAAAAAAAAAAAAAAAAAAAAAAAACAAACAAACAAAACAAAGATGGCGCCTGGACGCGTTGTTGAAGAAGTTGATACCGAGAAGAAGCTTTTGAATGATGATGAGCCTGAGTCGGTGGTGGAAGAAGTGAAGGAGGAAGACGGGCATGAAATTGTAGTAAGAATGCAAGAAGAAAAAAGAAAAGAAAATAAAACTTATGTCAGCATATTATTACCTGTAAGCAACTTGTAAAAAATTATGGGTGAAAAAAAATAATGGTTTGTGGATCTAAATATACGTTATGAAAGGTGTGGGTGCGACATGAATAATCAGGAATGGTTCAGCGTGCGGGATGACACTTTAGCCAAGAATTTATGATTCATGGTCCCTGTGGAGCAGTACGAAAGACTTCTCCTTGTATGGCTAATGGTCAGTGTACAAAACATTTTCCCAAAGTGTTTGTTGATTATTCTACTTTTGATGGCGAGGGGTATCCAATATATAGACGACGAGACAATGGTCGGACAGTAAATAAGAACGGGATTCCTTTTGATAACAAATGTGTTGTACCTCACAATAGACAATTGTTGTTAAAGTATAGAGCTCATTTTAATGTGGAATGGTGCAAAATCAAACCCGTTCAATTAAGTACCTGTTTAAATACGTTAATAAGGGGCATGATAATGTTACATGGTCAAGTGGTTGATGAAATTAATGTGTACTATGATTGTAGATACATATTTCCATGTGAAGCAGTTTGGCAATTGTTTGGATTTGATATACAGTTAAGGACACCATCAATAAAACATTTAAGCTTCCACTTGCCAAATCAACAAAGTGTTATATTTGCATATGATGATCCAATTGAGAATATTGTTAACCGACCAACTATTGCAGAAAGTATGTTCTTGGAATGGTTTGAAGCAAATAAAACCTTCCCAGAAGCCAGATCTTTGACTTATGCTGAAATGCAAATGAAATTTGTTTGGAAGAAAGATATTAGAAAATGGAGTCCAAGGAAAATAGGTTTCGCAATAGGTCAGGTTTTCTATGTTCCCCTGGGACAGAGGAAATATTTTATCTGAGATGTCTGTTGAATAAAGTTCGCGGACCTACAAGTTATTTTGATATCAAAAAAGTCGATGGTGTGTAGTAAAATTCCTTTAGAGATGCGTGTTATGCTAGGGAGTTAGTTGAGTATGACAGAGAATATGTTGACACAATAGAATAAGCAAGTGAATGGGCTTCAGGATGTAATTTGAGGAGATTGTTTGTAACGTTGTTAATGTCAAACTCAATTGCGAAACCAGATGTTGTTTGGGAAGCTGTTTGGAACTATCTGAGGATGCACAGTTCAAGCTTCGGCAATACTTGCGAATACCAGGTATTTTTAAATACATTTCTTACAACTTTTATTGAACTATTAAAAATTGAATCCAATGTTATTACGGATGAATAGTTGCAACTAAATGGTGTCAATGTTACAGATTTGGTGTTGACGGAAGCTCAACAAAAGAATTTTGCATTAATGGAAATAGAAAGGATGTTATCAACAATGGGCAAGAGTTTAAGAGACTTTCCATCCATGCATACCCAGATGAAAATAATTACATTTTGATATCAAATCAGTTGGTACAGGAGGAATTATCATATGACCGTGATGCTCTAAAGGAAGAGAATGAAGTTTTGGTTCGCCAACTAACCAAAGAACAGAGGGCAATATATGATGAGGTAATTCTAGACGTTGAGAGCAACGCTGGAGGACTATTTTTCGTATATGGCTACCGTGGAACAGGTAAGACGTTCTTATGGAGAGCATTGTCTCCGTCTTTAAGGTCTAAAGGAGAAATTGTTCTAAATGTTGAGTCTAGCAGCATAGCATCACTTTTATTACCCGGAGGAAAGACTGCGCATTCTAGGTTTGCAATACCTATCTCTATTAACGAAGATTCCACTTGCAACATAAGTCAAGGAAGTCCTTTGGTAGAGCTAATTGTTCAATGCAAACTGATAATATGGGATGAAGCTCCGATGATGCATAAATTTTGCTTTGAAGCTTTAGACAAGACAATGAGAGATTTTTTACGCTTCAAAAATCCTCATAGTTATGATATGAGTTTTCGGGGAAAGACGGTAGTGTTTGGTGGAGATTTCAGAAAAATTCTACCAATAATTCCAAAGGGCACAAGGCATGATATTGTTGGTGCAAGTATAAATTTTTATATCTTTGGAAAAACTGTAAAGTTTTTAGGCTAACCAAGATTCTACGCCTAATAGGCTTACAATCAGAGGTTGAAATTCAAGAGATTAAGAAGTATGCACGGTGGATTGCTAATATTGGTGATGGAGTAATTGGGAATTCAAGTGACGGTGAAGCTGAGATTAGTATTCCCGATGACTTATTATTGTTGTATAATGATGATCCTTTTGCTACAATTGTTGATAGCACATTGCCTATGTTTCGTACTAGTAACACTGATCTTAACTATCTTCAGAATCGTGCTATATTGGCTCCAACTCTGGATGTGGTAGATAGCATCAAAGATTACATGAATGCTAAGAATCAGGCTAAAGGATCATATTCAACTGGAGATACGTATTTTGAGATGTACGAACCTCATGAATTAATCTATCGTGTTTTGCTTGGTTATCAAAAAAAAAAAAAAAAATTAAAAAAAAAAAGTGATCTATTTCTCAATAGCATGAGAAATATAATCTTAGCAAGCTCAGAAAGAGTGATCTATATTTCTATCGTGTTTTGAGTTTTGCTTGAGAAATATAATCTTTAACACAATAGATTATAATCTCAGCAAGCTCAGATTATATTAGCATCAAAAGAGTGATCTATATTTCTCAATAGCATCAACGATTACATGATTGCTAAGAATCAGGCTAAAGGTGGGACGTATTTGAGTTGTGATTTGGTTTATAAATCATATTCAATTGGAGATATGTTATCTAATTTGCACACCCCAGAATTCTTAAATGGTTTACGTTGTTTTGGAGTTCCGAATCATGCTTTGACTATAAAAGTTATGTCACCCAAAAGTTGGGTTACCTCTTTTTTTTTTTTTTGCGCTGAGTTGGATTAAAATGGTCGAAACTGACGCACAGGTGGTGATGCAAGCGGTGGAACGTGGGGTGCATAACACCCCGTTTGGGGCCCTTATCCATGACATTCGAACCTTGTTGCAAGAGCTTGATTCAGTCTCTCTTACGTTTGTGCAGGTGGGAAAGTCCAAGCGCATAATATGGCAAGAAAATCTCTTAGAAATTACGATTTTGAGCTTTCTGAGTATTTTTATTATTATTATATTCCGCGTTGTATTTCGAGATGTACGAACCTCATGAATTAATCTATCGTGTTTTGCTTGGTTTTCAAAAAAAAAAGTGATCTATATTTCTCAATAGCATCAATAGCATGAGAAATATAATCTTAGCAAGCTCAAAAAGAGTGATCTATATTTCTATCGTGTTTTGTGTTTTGCTTGAGAAATATGATAGATGCTAAATTAATCTATCGTGTTTTGCTTGAGAAATATAATCTTAGCATTCATGTAATCTATCGTGGTTGGCTTAATCATGTTTTGGAAGCTCAAATTATGTGTGGAACGAATGCAGGAATTGAGATATATATATATATATATATATATATATATATATATATATATATATATATATATATATATATATATATATATATATATATATATATATATATATATATATATATATATATATATATATCACTCTATAGGACTGTGTAATGGTAGGTTAATTGTTACAAGGTTGGCTTAATCATATTTTGGAAGCTCAAATTATGTTGGAACGAATGCAGGAATTCCACTGTTAACACTTTGATTCAAGATTGTCTTAAGTTTCAAAGAAAGCAATTTCCTTCAATATTATCATATGCTATGACAATAAATAAAAAATGAGACTAAAAGAAAATTAAATAAAAAGGTCAATTTTTAATCATGATCAAATATACCGCAATTTCAAAACTCAAAAGTAATCAAAGGGAATTGAAAAATTTTAATAAGTGAGGATAATGTACCATTTGTAAGCATAACTAAAAATGTCAATATACAAAAATATTTTCAATAATTAGTACAATTACAATCTTTTGTCTATTATATTTGTCCGTGCATCAGACAAGGGCACTTACTAGTAATATCCAATCAAAAAAATAAAACACAAGATTAAATTCTGATTTGACAGTTGCAATGCCAAAACCAGCCCCGCTGGTATAATCTCATTCCAAAATTTTGACATATTCTTCACAAATAATCGTAAAAGAGCTGCAAAATCGAAATTGCTTGGAACCACTCGTATATTCATTTCGTATTACTACTTGCGAAATATTTAACATTATTTTCAAAAAATAGTTTAGAACTTGGACGGTAATTTACCTTTTTTTTAGATTCTCTAAGCCCCTATAATTTCATATCTTTAGAATTTTATATATTTCACTTTGAACCAAACAAGTTCTTTTTCATTTGGTAAAATTCATAATAATATCCAATCACAATAAAACACAAAATTAAAGTTCGATTTGAAAGTTGCAATGCCAAAACCAGCCCCGGTCCTGCCTGACTCATTCAGTAAAAATACGACTCTGAAACCAACCAAAACATACTATAACCCGCCTTAACATTAGATGAACCACAAAACAAAACCCCAAACAGTGAACCAAGGCAGGCTAGGCTAGTAGGCTCTAACTCCTATTTCTCCCCCCGGGCACTCAATTTTACTTTCCAGCACCATGTTTAGCTTTTGAGTGAGAATCCAAAGCACTTTCAGAACCAAAACTCCTGCAGGCACAACAATATCACACTTCTCACTGAATCATAACTCCTCCAAGAATCAGTCAGTCATTTTATAGATCAAAGGAGACTTGTACCTATTGCATGGTTTGCAGAGGTGAGAACCTCCCGATTTTGGAGTCTGTTGCTTTGCAGCCTTGTTATTAGGAGTCTTCCCAGCAGCTTTCTTTGAAGGATGTGGGGTAGCTACATGTTCACTGCCCTTCTTTCCATCTGAACCCAACAAAACATAGCAATCATCAATCTAAACATTAAATGAATTACACAACACATTCAGATCAAGCACAGGTTATACTCTCATAATTCCAAAATAGAAAATAGAAAATACCATCAGACAAGTAAATAGAATGTAGTCAGTTTTTGTGCACAAGATGATGTGAACATCAAGGAGAAGAAACTAACCAGTTTTCTGAGGAGTTGCCATTTTCACCTTTTTCTCAGGTACAGGTGTCTTCTTGGATGATTCTGAAGGCCTCTTCTTGCCAGATTCAACCTTGAACCAGACAGAAGTGTAACCAAATATTGTCAGCCAATGAAAAGATGAGTAGATAAAAATGTGGATGACATATCTGTTCTCTACCTTCTTTGGAGTCTCCTCACTCTCATCCTCAGAATCTTCATCCTCAGAGTCACTCACATCTTCATCCTAATCACATTGAATTGAAGCATTTAATTAGCACAGCATTATGAAAAGAATAGAACATTTAATATCCATAAATTCTATAAGCACAATATTAAATTGATTTTAAAATTCTCCGTAAATGAATACTACCTCCCTTTTACCAAATTAAAATAGTTCAAAATCAAGTATTGCAAACTTAAATCAGTCTCCTAAAAATGCAAGTGCGATTTGAATCCAATTCACACTGCTAATGCACTATTAACAATGATATAACCCTTACAAAGCTATCCAATTTCCTGGTAGAGTTGAACATGAGGGTGCAAAAACAAATAGTACGGGAAATTTTTCAACTAAAGCTATAATATTATGAAGCAAAACTTTACCTGCCATTCAAAAACCTACTTTAACACCCAACACAGAACTGAAAACAGACATGCAGAGATGATGCATTCAGAGAGTTTTAAAAATAGAACTTGTGGTCAAGCAATAGAAACTAAGAATGCAATTAATATTAATAGTATATATTAAATAGAAAACATTTACCTCCCCAGTCTCAGCATCCTCGTCATCATCCATATCCTCATCTTCATCACTGCTTTCATCTTCATCCTCATCTTTAGCACCTTTCTTTGGCTCTGCAATTTTCACCTTCTGCTTACCCAGAGCAGAATCCTTGGCAGCATTTGCCTTCTCTGCCACAGCAGGTTTCTCTGGCTTTGCCTTGGTATCAGGTTTCCCTAAAATTCAAAACACCATGGAATCTAATCTAAATTAGATAATAGAAAGTAAATATACATAATAAATAATGCAGTAATTTAATCCTTTGCACCATTGCTTGTATGGAGAGGGATGTCCTCGTCAGAATCTGTTCACAATAAAAAGCTGGAGGTCAGTGCCTCCATAAATTCTAGTCCGAAAGCAACATGAAAAATGTAGGATACCAAACTCACCAAATTCATCATCTTCCTCATCAGTGAGCACAAAAGAAAACATAGTCAAGGATATAACAAGACAGACAGCTTTTAAATGATACCAAAGAACTTAAAACAGAAAGGAAAAAAAATAAAAAAGAGCAATATATATGAAGGATATTCATCAATTGGATTTGAAGCCAGGTATCCATAAAAGAAGACACTGCCATTTTTCCAGTTATGTGATATTTCAAAGTCTCTATCAAAAACCAAGTCAAATTGTTGCTGGGGCAGCTTCTCCGTGTTCAGTGTAGCAAGAACAAGTTTCTTCCCATCAACAGTCACATACAAGCAAATAGATTCACCACCTTTATCTTTCTTTGCCTCACCAAGATTAGCCTACAGAGAATTAACAATGAATACTTTTCTATGAAAAAAGTCAATAAAACTACTATTATTGAGTGTCATAACTAGTATACCTGTGAAAGATGCAATACCATGCCCTCTCCAGGTTCCACTGATAGAGGCTCTCCATTTTTTACCTCAACACCTAGAGAAAGAAGATGTTACCGTGAAGTGGCATTAATGTAAGCACTAGTTACAGTTGAAAAAGCACACTATATCAAAGAACATGAAGGCAAACAAAGAAAGATATTATCATGCAATCCTAGACCAGTTAATTGATAAACCCTCCAAGCACAGATGTGGATATGATTATGTTTAGTAAAGTCAAGTTTTTGGTCTTATCTTGCAGGTGACGACGATTCAAATTGATATATCCATGTCAAATTACATCAGATATGCAGGAACCTTAAAAATAACAGTCTTGAGAAGAGGATTCTATAGACTAAAACCAACAAACGCAAAATGCAAACTTCAAATTAAAAATAACTAAATGAATCATAGTAATTTTCAACCAATATAGTTTACAATTGCTATAAAACTGCAAGTTTTTAAATTTCTAGGTAACTGATGTTACATATAAGTGTAACATGCCAAATAGAATAAACTAATGCAATCATAGCAAAGTTACATATATAGATGAAATATATTAGTGTAACATACTAACATGCCAAATAGAATAAACTAATGCAATCATAGCAATATTGCAACAATATTTTTCAGTTACAAGTGAAACCCATTAACTAAAATCTCTTAATGCCTAATTAATCTGAGTGTCTTGTAGCAGTGTAAGGATTTTTACCTTAATTACATGGATTCAAGTTTGACTCAATGATCTTACACATGAAGGCACAAGGGGGAGTCAGAAAGGTTACAAAATTTCAAAGAGGCATTAATAACTAATAAGTACAATACAACCAACACTTGTCAATAAGCATCACAAATACAGTGAACCTCAAACCAAGCTGCAGTTCAGACTAAAAACTAGCAAACAGTATTTTAATTCTAACAATCTAAGATGACTCGTGAACACGTGCAAAAAAGATACATACATACACGCACAAATACAACCAAGTGGGGAATACATTCATATACACATACAGACAAAACGAATACATACACAATACTGCATGTGTGCGCGCGGGGGCGCATAGCCACAGCATAAAAATGAAATGCAAACATGCGCAAAATGAAAACGAGCAAAAAAGGCAAAAACAGAGAGAATTTCAAATAGAAATGACGGTAAACTCAAACGTGAACACATACGAATATGCTACAGAATTGCAAAAAACATTCAACAAAATATAGAGAAAAATCAACAAAAATTATATAAAAAAAATGCTAACGAAGAGACTATCGCCGGCACGATCCGAGTCTAGAAACATAAATGAAATTAAACAAGGGAAGAGGGGGAGCGTTACCCCAGAACTCCATTGTTGAAGCGGAAGTGTGTGGCAGAGAAGTAGGGTTTTACGTAGAAAGAGTGGGAGCAGACAGCGAGTACAGGAAGTATCTTAGGGTTCAATGAAGGAGAGAAACGAGAGTATATAAGAGACAGAAATGCGGGGCTTTAACAGAGTATTTCGCACACGGTAAAGGAGCACTGATTTGAATTGGGCTTTCCACTAATGCTTCCCATCTTGGAAAAAGGGTCCAACGGGCTGAACCCACTTATATGGCAAATTATGCTGTGGAACCGTGTCCACCTTGCAAACTGGACACAGTTCCAAAACGGTGTTGTTTTGGTAGAAAACGATGTCGTGTCAATTCAAAAAAGAAAAATTTGTTCTCTTTCGTTGTTAATGGCGTTTGTCTTCATAAAGTCTATGTGTTATAATTGCTGAACTCTATGTTCATAATTATAGAACTCTATGTTCATGATTTTTGAACTCTATATTCACAATTATTGAACTCCATATTCACAATTACATAACTCTATGTACATAATTATAAAACTCTATGTTCAGAATTTTTGAACTCTAGAAGTCTATGTTCATAATTACTGAACTCTATGTTTATAATTATAGAATTCTATGTTCATAATTTTTGAACTCCATATTCACAATTATTGAACTCTATATTCACAATTACAGAACTTTATGTTCATAATTATAAAACCCTATGTTCATAATTTTTGAACTCTAGAAGTCTATATTCACAATTATTGAACTTTATATTCACAATTACAGAACTCTATATTCATAATTATAGAACTTTATGTTCACAATTACAGAATTCTATATTCACAATTACAGAATTCTATATGCATAATTATAGAACTCTATGTTCATAACTTTTGAACTCTATATTCATAATTCTTGAACTCTATATTCACAACTGCAAAACTCTATATTCACAGTTACGTAACAAAGTATTCACAATTATTGAATTCTATATTCACAATTACAGAACTCTATGTTGATAATTTTTGAATTCTAGAAGTCTATATTCACAATTATTGAACTCTATATTCATAATTATAGAATTATATGTTCACAATTATTGAACTATATATTCACAATTACATAACTCTATATTCATAATTATAGAACTCTATGTTCATAATTTTTGAACTCTATATTCATAATTCTTGAACTCTATATTTACAACTACAGAACTCTATATTCACAGTTACGTAACAGAGTATTCATAATTTTTGATGTCGCTGAATTCTATTGACAAATTTATAAAAATAAAATAAAATAAAATAAACATATTGGTGGAGGAAAAACGGTGCCACTAATGACATCGTTACTCCCGAATTGCAAAATGATGTCGTATTGGACCCACGGGTCCATGGCATAACAGTCTCACTTTTCTCTGTCCCTTTCAAATTGTACAGATTAATACTTTGTTTCATCCGTTTTAAATTTAAAAAATAAAAATAATTAAAAATTACTCTCCTGTCTCATTTTATATGTCTTACTTATTATTCATTGGTCAAACCAACTCTTTATTTTTTGTTTATTTTCTTTATTATTTTTACTTATTTTAAATTTAATTTTTTATGTTTAATAGTACTTTTAGTTTAGTTTTTAATATATAAATTTTGTATATTAATATTAAACGTAATATTATAAAAAAATGAATTAAAAATAACTTCAGTCAAGCCTCATTAATCGAATCAGATACATCAAATGGGAGGGAGGAAGTAAAAACTTTCCTTATTGAACTTGAGACCTCTAATAAAACACACAAAGCTCAACCCACCAAGACACACCAACTCTTGTATATTAAAGTGTGACACCTAATATTTATCCTAAATTTTTGGGCTGGCAGCTTCAACCATCGGCCATTGGCCGACTGGTGGCATGTCCAGCTAGCCACCTCAGGCCATGGCATGGCAGGGCGGGGTGGTGCGCCCTTTCCTAGCGCATGACTAGCAGGGTTAGCTATAGGTTGGTAATTGACCTTTCTGGCATCCATGGGACACGTGAAGGATGGATATGGAAGACTAGTTGATGTCGTACACTTGTCAACAATCCGAAAGACTTTCTACACTATATAAGGCACCATTCCCTCCCTTTAAGGGGGCATCATCCGAGCACTACAGGCACCTTTGTCTAGTGGTGTTTGGTTTAGACCCTCAACCCAGCTACCTGGGTTCGATTCTTATCAGTAGCATAGTTCATTTCTTGGGTCGTGATCTTTGTATTTGGGCCGCCAGGGAAATAACCCGTGATATTTGTATTTGGACAATTCTAGCGGACATCGACGATGGATGGATTGAATCCCCGGCGAGCTTCCTCTGGAGTAGATGGCGACTAGTTCTTCGACCAGTAGCAACAGCTCCTATCGGCGACCTCCCTCCCGTCCCCGGAGAGCTTCCTCCGGAGTAACAGCTCCTATCGGCGACCTCCCTCCCGTCCCCGACAGTTCCTCCGGAGTAACAGCTCCTATCGGCGACCTCCCTCCCGTCCCCGACAGTTGAGCAGCAACGATGAATCACCAACAGCAACAGATCGACAGATTCCTCTCTCGTTCGTCGATCTATAATACCCTCCGCGTAACAGTGATTGGTGGCATAGTAAGTGCTCAGATCGACAGATTCGGTGGCATAGTAAGTGCTCAGATCGACAGATTCCTCTCTCGTTCGTCGATCTATAATACCCTCCGCGTAGCAGTGATTGGTGGCATAGTAAGTGCTGGAGAAGAATGTCGACGTAGCAGTGATTGGTGGCATAGTAAGTGCTGGAGAAGAATGCCGACAAAAGAGGTCTCGCACTCTCGTCGTTGGCTGTGTTTTTTTATTTTTTTTTATTTTTTATATATAATATATATTTTAATAAATAAATAAATAAAGTTTATAAAAAAACAAAAATAAAAAATATTTAAAAAAAACATGTATCAACCATGTGAAGACTTTACTTTGAACTTAATTGAACAACATTACAGGTTTATGGAATTTAAATGGTGATTTTTTTTTTTTTTTTAGTTAGGAAACCCAATTACACTATCTAATCGACTTAGAGAGTCAATTTAACACTTTTTTTCTACAAAATAATTAATTTTTGACTTCCATCTTTTTACACACTTAACAAAAAATATCTCTCTCAAACAAAGTTAAAGTTCCATCTCAGCAGAATTGAAGCCTCAAACAAAATTTTCTTCGCACCTCAAACAAAATTTCCCTCTCAGCAGAACGTCGCACCTCAAACACTTAGCAATAAACACCATCGTCGCACCTCAGCAGAGCTTTTCACCGTCGTCGTCGACTTTGCACTAAGCAGTACAGAACCGAAGCCTTCGTCGCCGTCGTTGAGCCCAACCCGTCGCCGTCAGCAGAACCAAAGCGTTTGCAATCGCTTCCACTTGCTCCGCCGTCTCACCCTCACCGTCGCTCCCACCTACCACCTCAACCTGCACCTCTTCCCTCCTCTACTGCTGTCGCCTCCTCCCTGCTCTTCCACCGTTGATTAATTGTTGGATTCCCCATCACCATCCTACATGTTAGTCCTAAACCCTAGATTAATTGTTGGATTATTAGGTTGTGAATGTTCTTAATCCCTAGATTAATTGTTGGATTGTTCGGTTGTGAATGTTCTTAAACCCTAGATTAATTATTGGATTATTAGGTTGTGAATGCTCTTAAACCCCAGATTAATTTTGACACGCAAGAAGGACGAAGTGGTTATTTTTGTATATGTGAACTTGTTCTGATTGTTGCTTTCATTGTTGAAGTGATGCAAAGAGCATACATAATATACTTTTAATGTGAATAACAAGTTGCAGAACTGGAGAAGGAAATAATGGATGTAAAGAAAAAAATTCAGTTCGTTCAAGGAAAGATGCAAGTGCTTGTGAGTACTTCTGAGCTTCACTCCCTTCATCCCTTTCCACTTAAATTTATTTGCAAAAGTCCACCCATTATCCATACTTGTGTGGGGTTGGATGAGGTAGTGTATTATTATTGCTAGCTCTTTAACCACTCCACTCATATGGTGTGTGATGTTCATTTGATTTGTCTGATAACCTAACCTTTTCAAGACCATTGTTTTTGTCAATGTCAAATAATGCATGGCTTTATTTTCTGTTTTCAATGCTAAGATATGTAGTTTTTCATTAACCATGTATTAGGAAATCAATATAATAAATTGTTAGGACAGCATATTATTTTCAGTTTTGTGACTTTTGTCCATCAATAGATTATTTTTCAGAGTATCATTGTGATATCTGATTCTTTAAAATCAAGATAGCCCCACAATATCATTATTTCAGAATCAGAGTTCTTGTAATGAATATTTAATAAATGAAACATGCTATCTATAGAAATGGTCTGCATATTCTCCTTGGAGGTGTTTGTGCTTTAACAGTGGTAGTCTTCTTCCGCTTTGTAAGTTTCCTGTTCTTAGCAGCCTTGCATCTGTATCAATGTGTTTTTATTTTGTATGGTTGTCTATTTCAAATCTACATTTTTTTTTTTGTTGACATGAATCAGGTATGGGCCTGCACGCTAGCTACTGGGCAATCCCCAGAAGAAATTTGGCAAGGAAGACCAAAAGCTTGAGTTGAACTCATCAACTATGCCTAAGTCCTTATGGCTTCTATATTGTTATTACAAGTGTGCTCTTGTAATAACTTATGTTTAATTTCTTTCTTTTTTATCCGAATGATTTTTACATTATCTGAATAGTCAACATTTATGAATATATGAAGGGCTATGAAAATGTTTCATGCGGCTTAGGAAAGAAAGGACGAAGTAAAACTGTTTAGGAAATTGTCAAGGGAGTTAAATCAATTTTTGGTCCTACATTTATTGCGTGTGTTGGACACATTTAACCCGCATTTATTAATTTTGCTAGATTTGTCCAGATTTATTAAAAATTGGAAAATTTTAGTCCACCGTCACAATTGACGTTAAGGCTCTGTGAAATAGAAGCGCATTTTTGTCCTTTCAAGTGCTTATTCTTCATCAGCTCCTATTTTTCTGTGCTCACGGTCATGTGTAACACCCCCAAATTTAATTCTCAACACCTACTATAAATAGACCAATAAAAACAGAAACTGCCATTAATAGAATTCCTGAAGTACGCATACCACCGTTTAGAACTAAGTAATAATTCAACTTACAAAATAACTTTAAGTCCTTAATAATAAATGAGGGTGAAACCGCCACATCTAATCCAACACTGACTAGATGTAAGGCTCTAAACTATAACATTCAATCACAACTTAATCCAAAACTAAAGAAATACAATACGAATCAATAACTCCAAAACATCAAAAACAAAACAGCTACTAAGTTCTAATGCGCGCTCTCAGCCAACAACTTACTCATTCACCTGCACAAATCACAAACAAGAGAAACACGAAATAATAAAATTAGCAAAACATTGCTAAGTAAGGTTTACTCTACCTTGTAAAACGGGTTTAATATAGTATATATTCACAATCCAAAACAATTAGCCACAAGGCTTAACAATTCTCAACTTCCACTTAACACTTACTTCACATCACACTCCACATAGAGATTTAGGTTTCTCAACTTAAGATTTCAAATCATTTCTTTTCCAAATTACACGTTTCCAAAAGAAATCATTTTTAGGAAGTATAGATGAATATCAAACCAAATAATGGGCAGGGTCTTAATTACTTAAGCCCTAGTGAACGGTGATCACTCCACTGAACACTACGCAAAATCCCATTTAAACCAACCAAACAATGGGCATGGTCTTATTTAATAAGCCCTAGTGAACAGTACTCACTCTACTGAACACTACACAAAAATCCCATTTAAGTGGAACAGAACTAATACCTTAAGTGTGCACACCCCCAATGGGTTTCCAAGCCCAATGGGTAGTAACTAGTCCTAGTAGCCAGGATACATTTCTACTGACTACTACTCAACAGGGTAAATACCCTAGTGGCAGACTCCGCTAACCATCCCTCAAAACAACAGGACGAAAAGTCCTAGTGAGACAGGATATGTTTTTACTGCTCACTCCTCAAAATAACAGGGAGTTTTTAGACTCCCTAGTGAATTAGTATATTTCAACTGTTCACTCCTCAACAAACTGGGTCAATCCAGAATTCATAATTGAACACTATACAAGTCAACAAAAGCTTTTTGTTCTCCATATTTATAAAAAATGATAAGAGTAATGATATTTCACAAGAAAACAAATTCTCAATATCTCAAATCAGAAACTGACAGAAAATTTCAGAAATGATGACCTGAATTGCAGAATTTACTGAGAAAAAACGGTAACACATTTTCCCATGAAATTTTCCAGATAAGTATTAAAAAGAGTCTAGACTACACACAAAAATTTTCAAGCCAATTCAAGGTCTAGAAGTATTTTTCCCGAAATATTTCCCAACACTGCGCCAGGCAGAAACTAAACTGGCAGTACACTGCCTCAACTTTACGAAAATTTTCTGGAAAACCCGAAACATATTTTTAACCAAAACTTTTTACAAACATCAAATATAATAAGTCTAGGTTCTCCATAAAAAATTTCAAGCAAAAAGAAGTTCTAGGAAGCAATTTTCACGAATTTTTCTTTCCAGCTGCGCCAGTCAGAATTTTCACAGGCAATAATCGAATTCTGTAAAATTTATCCTTTTTAATCACCACAAAATCACCATATCTCATATGCCCACAAAACCAAGAAAAATATACACATCTTTACAGAGTAAAAGTAAATTTTGATAGACATAAGCACTTACCTGGATACGTAAAACAAATCACACACTTGACCCGAGTCCTACGTTTGCTCCTCTGCAAACTCTCCTTCTAACCAAATTGAATATTCATATAAACACAGAAAATCACATAGGCATATAATCATAGAAATTTTACCACAAACATATAATTAAACTTACGAATAGATGACACTAGATGGAAGAAAAATTGACGCCTAGGAGTTCTCTTGTGTCGAAGCCGAAACTGGGAATGAAAAGAATGAGAGTGTCGACTGCGAAGATGATGATTTAGGAGGGGAAGGTGTCGTATATGCTAGGGTTTGTTTTTATATTTCTTTTGATTCCAATAGCAGCGTGTGTTAAGAATTAGAGAGTGAATTTAAAAAGGTTTAGGTAACTAATATCATAGAATTATAGAGTGAGTTTAAAAAGGCTTAGGAAACTAATATCATAGAATTACATCATGACTAGACATATATATCCCAAACTTAATCTAATAAACTAACATATATATATCAAACTTAATCTAATAAGCATAGGTATATATATATATATATATATATATATATATATATATATATATATATACTAAAGCCGTACTGGAGAATCACATATATATACTATAACTTAAGTTAAATTTATTTAATATAACATAAACATATTAGTTTTAGGATTTAAAAATTAGTTTATTATTATCATATAAGTATTATGGGTTTAGGAATATTAATAACCATAACATAATAGTAGTATTTTTTTTTTTTTGGAATAGTTTATTTATAACAAATTAAAATACTCAAATAATCGGGGTATCACACTCTACCCCCTTAAAAGATGCTTCGTCCCCGAAGCAGACCCATAAGGCAACAAGGATCAAGGGAACCGGGAAACCTCGCAACTGGGAAACCCAAACTCAACCTCACCAAGAAACTTAAACCTCACCAAGAAACTAAAACTCGAGTTTCATACACAAAAATGGAATGATGCATTTCATACACAAAAATGGAATGATGCAATTAACACACTAAAAGAACAACGCGGTGTTACATTCTACCCCCCTAAAAACAAAGTTACGTCCCCGTAACTTAGATGAGTACCTTGATCGAACAACGTCGGGTAACGATTTCTCATATCATCCTCTACTTCCCAAGTGACTTCTTCTGTCAAGTGGTTAGACCACAAGACCTTTACAAGCTTCACAACTTTCCTTCGGGTTTCCCTTGTTTTGGTATCAAGAATCTTTACTGGTTTTTCCTCGTAAGTTAGAGACTCATCTATCTCCACAACCTTATAATCATAACAATGGTGTTATTAGTATCACCATCACCCATTCAAGGGTCTCAAGACAACCTTTTAATTCCTTACCTCTAGACGAATTACATGAGAGTTATCATGCATGTACTTCTTCAATTGCGATACGTGGAATACATCGTGTACCTAGTCGGAAAATACGTTTATAATGGCTTAGATAAGTCGTGTTTCCAAGAATACTAATAATAACTACTCATTAGCAATAAGGTCGTTACCTTATCCAACTCCGTTGGTAAAGCCAATCGATAGGCTACCTTCCCAATCCTTTCCAAATTTTCATATGGTCCAATAAATCTAGGACTTAGCTTCCTCTTCTTTCCGAATCTCATTACTCCCACTAGTACAAAATTGAACATAGAAGATTGACCATAGGCCACCATTGTTGAAAAAATGGTTGCCTAATCTTAGCCCAAAAATTCGCGGTGGCAATTTTGTAAATAAGTAATCAATAATCCACCACCATTATAACTGTAATGGTTGCCTATTGTATTTTTTATGTATTTTGAAAAAAATTAATTTTTAATAGAAAACCATTTCTAATAAAAATGGTTGCTTTAAAATAGAAATTGTTTTATAATAGGCGACCATTTCTAATAGAAATGGTTGCCTAATATTAACCGTAGATCAGAACAAGACATCGCGTCTATCTAAAATAATCCTCAATCCACGGCAATTTATATCCTACACCACGGCGTACATTGCACTATGCGCCCAGATGCAAAACGACGTCGTTTTAATTATTATTTTCTTTGAAATTTCCCGCCCCAGTGAATGGCAGTAGGCTTTTCTTTAAAAAAAAAACCGCTGTTCAAGAATGTACATAATGTTATACTTGAATACACATAATGTTATACATGAATACACATAATGTTATAACAAAATATACATACTCTTTTTAAAAGATAATACACATAATCTAACATAATACATAATAAACATAAACTTTTAACATAATACACATCAACTCTTAACATAATACACACAAATTTTCTGATTCGGATGTACATAATTGTATAAAAACAATGTACATAATTGTATAAAAAATACACATAACTGTATGAACCAATACACATAACGTTGTGAACGAATACACATAACGTTGTGAACGAATACACATAATCTCAGCAACTTCCTACCGCGCCTCCCAACACGACCCCAATATGACGTCGTTTTGGGAGGCACGCGGCGCACAGTGCTATGTGCACCGTGGTGTAGGATATAACGATTGTCAATCCACCGTCGCTTCTCTTCTCTCTAAGCCCTCTCTCTCTCTAAATCCCTCCCTTCTATCTGGGACGCGACGGAGATGGAGAGAGCTCTACTGCTCTAGGGTAACTTGATGACGGAAAACGCTCCGACGCGACGGAGGTCGTCAACCGCTCTCCAAAAGCTCCGCTGCGGCCTGGGGTCGGCAACGACGTTCCACCTTCAGATCTCTCTCAAAGGCTCAAAGGTAACGATATATTTTTTTCTTTTCTTTTGCTTTTTCTTTAAATTAGATCTCAGACCTGTCTTCTCCGCCGGAATCACACCCACTGCCGGCGAGGACTTCAAGCCAACGGCGGCGAGCAGTTCAGTTTTTATTTTATTTTATTTTGTTCATACTAGGGTTTTTTTAGTTGCAATCATCTATTATTTTTCTCAACCGTTGAGCACAAAGAGATGATGATCGCACTATTGTATCATGTTTGCTACTCTATTGCATAATTATATATTATAATGACTTTGGGAGTGTACGCAAGGTTTGCAGCTATTGCTCTGGTATTGCATATTTAAAAATTTATTTTTTTTAGTGGGACGAACATTTGCATTTCTTTACTGATCTAATAATAGATACTGTGGTATAGAGCCAACTATTTTAGCAGGAAAAATTGATCCCATCCTTTTTGAGGCTCTATTTGTAAGTTATGACTTTTAATACCATGTTTATGGATATTCCTGTGCCTTCTATTTTTTTGTATTTCTTTTTTTCATTTTAGGATCCTCATCCCCACAGAATCAAGCTTTTCTCATTAATGAGCTCAAAGTGACTTCAATGTTTGAATTCCTGTCTGTGTTCTTTTCAGGCTTCCCAGTATGCTATATTCCTTTTTTGCTAGAATTCCTCAGATATGGCAGAACTTTAAGATATGGCAGAATTCCTCAAAGAGTTCATCATTCTGTTCTGGTTTCTCGTGCAGAGTAAGAGCACAGGAGAGCTAAGCTTTTTAACGTTCTTGATGAACTTTGCCGGTTCCATGGAGAAGTTCATTATAAATGATTCATTGTTGTAGGCAAACCCCACAATTTTGATAGATCTCTCTCTTTTCTTTCTCCAAGAGAGTTTTTACCAGCATCCAAGAAGAAACTCCAATGAGTGGTATGTATCTCTCTCCCCCTCACTTTTCAAGCAGGTATATTTTAAGCCCATTTCATGAATTAAGTGTATGCTCTTGGGACCTTTGGCACTCAATAAAACCTCGTTTATATGATTTGGAAAGTTTCCATAGCGTTTGTCTCTGTAATTCTCTTTGAAATTGATCACTTTTGATATTTTCCTTATTTCACATCATTATTACATTACTTTTTTCTATGATTTCCCGCTAATGGCTTTCGTGAATGATCATCTACTTCTCTGTTGTAGAAGAGCAGCAGCTCAGAAGCAACGGTGCTGCACAAATCTGCCTTATCAAAATTTGCCTATAACATGGTATACACAAATCTTAAACTACTATTTCCTGTTTATAAGTTATGTTCCTTTTCAGTTAACTTCCATTTCTCCATTAATTATTCAGTGCACCTTGGTGGTTTACTGTTTTTATTGTTTTTATCTAATTTACATTCCTGGTGTTCCTTGGTGGTTTACTCATCTACTTTGATTGCTGGAACTGACAAGTCTTTCTGTCTTTGTTTATGTTTCATTCATTTATTGAGGAGGATAAAGTGCAGGTTTTTTTTTTTCCTCCTTATGACTTATGAGTATAGTTATCTTCTTTGCTAATTTGTGCCCCAAGATGATAAGTTGTTAACTAGATTGCCATCTTTATCTGCAGTTTGCTAAAACATTCATAGCTCTAGGTAACTTAGTTACAAATGTTTTCCAGGTAAAGTTGAACCCGTCTCTTGCAGATGCTTGGTTTGAGCAAGGTATTTTTATTGGTGCTGTGATTTGTTTAGTTCAGAAGTGGTGTATGGGTGACATAATTCTGCAGTTGAGTACTATTTCCTAATGCTGATAGATATCTTATGAATTTCATGCTCAGGGACCCAACAAACAAATACTTTGTCAACTGTCAATGCTTGAAAGAAAAATGGCTCAAGGTGATTTTTCTTTATATGCTTGCTACTGTGATACATTCACTGGCAAACAATATCAAAGACGCAAGAAACAAGCTACCAAAGTGGATTGATTCAAACTAATAAAATGGAAACAAGTGGAATAATTCAGATTAGTTTGAATATTTCAGATTAGTCTTTTCCTACTGCCTATTCTTATGTTTTGTTTTATTTCATTCCTATTTTTGTGGTTCTTACCGTTGCTGCTTTTTGTATTTAAGGAAGATGCTACAAGACATCAAGGCATCATGAATTTATGTAATTTTGGCTAATGTTATTTGGAAAAAGAAGAACTCCTGATTTCTTCACAATTGTCTTTGCCTTCGTCTCTCTTTTGCTATTCCTACTTCCATCTGTAATCATAAGTAGAAGTCGAGGATCCATTCCCCCGCCCGCTCGCCACTCCAGCCCGGTACGTCGTCCGGTGACGAGATCCCATCCACCTTTGCCCGTAACATACTGTATCATGATCATCTAGAGCATAACCTTTTCTTAAGATAATTTTGGGATATCTTTATACATTTGCAGAGTAGCCTGGGGCTACATAATAATTTTAGACCATTTACTATGACTATATCCCTTAGGCCAGATTGACGAAATTTGTTACAAGTCCCTCTTTCAGTTACTGCCCAAAATAAGTTGGGGGACGCAAGCTGACTCTTTAGTTTTCCAATCCCTAAGCAAGTTGTAATTGGCTTGAATTTATGGTAATAATTTATATATATATAGAGATCCATTTAATCTTATTGACCTAACTTCCTTTATTTTTCAAAATTCAGACTGATTCCGCTGTGGAAAATAACTGCACTGGCATGATAATGCCCTCGATGTGGCCTGAAGGGCAAGCCATCGAAAACAGACCGCAACATCAACAGCTATGGCATGCCGATGGATTTCATCAACCTATGTGGACTAGGGAAGAGAATTGTAGCTTCATAGCACCAGAGAACTCACTATTATGTTATGACTCGACAAATTCAGGTGATTTTTTTTCCTATACATATAAATTATTCCATTTTGCATCACTTCCATCTTCTAGAAATTCCCCCCACACTCAATATCCTTTGGGTTAAATGGACATTAAGCTTTGGTCTGCACAGATACAATGCTTGCTGTCCAGAAGCATCTAGTATGTACACTAGACGAGCATATATATATATATATATATATATATATATATATATATATATATATATATATATATTGAAGATTAATTGTATATGGTATATGGGGGTACAGGTCCTTTGCTTGCAAATCAGCTAAAGATGGAGATATGAAAGAGAGCAAAAGCAAAGGTTTTTGCAGTAGTTAGGCATGATGTATATATGATTTATAGTAGTAGATAGCGGGGAAGTAGAGAGGATGGTGTGAAGAGTTCCAACCCAACCGGGTATCCGCATTCCCTAATTAACAGAGAACCAGAAACTCCCATTGCTCTTATGTGAGTATAACAAGTATGACATCTATTTTATGAATGAATACTAACGTAGAGGAAAGCGGAGGAGTCACTTCGTGTGATGGATGCTTCGCTTGTTTGTATGATGAGATAAGATAACGATTCATTCATGCTTGTTTGTAAAGAAAGATGGACAGTATTATTATGATGTTGGAATTATTTGTTTTGTTTTCCAATATTTTTTCCCTCCCTGAAATGGTAATCTGCAGGTATCTGGCCACAACATCTTCTGATCATACTGTCAAGATATGGAATGTGGATGGATTTACCTTGGAGAAAACTCTCATAGGTACATACCAAATTAATGTGGTTCTTTTTCTTTGATTTTTTTATGTTAAATCTCTAATGTCCTCATTCTCTTATTTCACTACCCATAAGATTCTTCATAAAGTCAAATGTGATATTTCTTATTTGGAGGCATTTTTAGTCTGTATCTTGAGAATGCTTGGTCAAATCTTGGGGTGACTTATTGCCATATTTGCATGCTTCTTATTGTGTGCTTTGTAGTCTGTAACCCCAAAGTCTAAGTTGTACCTTGAGCTTTGTAAGGAGTTCCCTTGTTCCTTACACTTCCTTATGTTAGTAAGGGTATTCTTGACCTTTCACTTGGTTTTAGTATTGTAACCTAACCTAGTAGACCACCTTCATTCTTTCCTTATACTTTCTAAAAATCTAGCTCCACCTTCTCTTTAAAAAGGTGGGTAGCTTTTCTTCCAAGCCAAGTTGGAGCCTTGCCAAAACTTCAAGAGTTGCTTCCAAGATTCAACCTTTCATATATTTGGGCATCTAGGAGGGTAAGATCTAAGTTCATCTTGTGTTTTTGGTTTTATCTTAGGTGTCTTTTCTTAAAGATAGGATCTTTATGATCTTTTGGTATGTTCTTGAAGTGGGTTTGGAAGGTGAGCCTTGAGAGGAGCTTGTTGAGGTGTAAAGTGAAGTCTATAGTCTACAAGAGGTAACCCATGCTCAACAAAATCTATTTTGCTTACCTATGTGAATATTTCTTGGATTCTACATGTGTTTTGCTATGAAATGTGAGTGTTTATGCATTGTCTTGTGAAAATGCATATCTAGAGCTTGTGTTTAGGGTTCTTGTGTGCCATTGCTTAGCCATTCCTTTGATTCAAGTCATGTTGTTGTATTTGGTGAGATTTGGCATGTTTTGGACTTGAATGTGAGCTTGGAGTTGAAAATCCCCGAAGGGATTATTTTGGTACAGGACGTGTACCCGCGGGCGGAACGGCGGGCGGGGCACCACCCATCGCCCCACCCGCGGGGTACAAGGCTTGTGGGAGAGTGTTCCCGCAGGCGGGGCACTACCCGTGGGTCCAACCGCGGGGAACATGTTGGTTTTGTTGGGGATTTGTTCCCCGTGATTCTTTTGACTCGGTATTTGGTCTTTTGACTTCCCGTTTTCTTTTGTGGAACTATTTGAGTGTCTTCTTGATGTTTCGTATGTCGAGAACTATGTGGTAGGAACCCATGTAGGTTTTGGTGTCATGAATCGTGCTAAGTGTTCAACATTGTGTTTCGTTGAACCGTGATGAGTCTTGTGTGTTCTTCGGAACTACCTTTGGTTTACCCGTTTGATGAGCATGCTAGTTCGGTGTTAAATGCTAGCGTGTGTGTTGTTTGTACCTTCCTATTGGTTGATGATAACTTGTGTTATTCATTGTTGTTGTTGTTGGACTGTATGTAACACCCCCCCAAAATCAAGACCTAAAAACAAGTCTTAACACATGCAGATTAACACAAACACTAGCACAACGGAAGAAAACGGAAACTGGATAAAAGAAATCCAAAACAGGGGTGTTATGCCACGTCTACCACACCCGGTAAACGCTAAGGCGAACAATCTGCAAGTGTATCACTATCCCAAAACATCAAACTACAAACAGTCTAAAACCATTGGCACGCAGGCCACAAAAACACAATCTAAAGGTACAGGCGCTAAGCTACCGGCTCTAGACATCGCGCTCGACTACTCAACACCTGAAAGAACACAAAGATAAACATCGGGGTGACGCCCGGTCAGCGAAAGATGCTGGTAACCCACCAATACCGTTTAAGTATCATAAATAGGTAGATATAAGATATAAAAAACATTTTCGAAACGGAATACATATATATAAGTCAAAAGCCAAGATCAGAAGACAACACAAGACTCACCACTCACAAGGATAACACCGGGAACACATCCCAACCACCAAGGTTAACCACACACAAGGATAAAGACTCACCCAACGGCAACACATGCCAAAACACCACAAGGCTCCGTGACTACACACGTCACGAGAGAAGAGAACTCACCACAACGGCTACACAAGCCCTCGTGACATCACCCATCACGAGTTGATATGCCTTCCTTATGCCCTGTTCCAACCTTATGGCTACCCCCAACCTTGTACCTTCAAAGCCAACCATTACCTCCAGAAATCCCCTGTACAGCCAAGTCCAACCTTATTCCGTCGGGACCGTCGTCCCCCACCTATAACCACCAACGAAAACCCACCAATCACGGCAACACATGCCCGGATAACACAATGTTATCCCCCAATCACGTGGACTCAGCCACAACTCCATAATCACGTCACGGCCACCACGAGGACCGCTGCAATACCTTGGTGACTAGTGTCCCATACCACTAATCGTGCAATCCAGGTAGAGCCACACACGCACCACCACTCACACGAAACAATCAACGGATTGCAAAGAAGGTATGAAACATACTCAATCAAGGAACGGGTCACCACCCAACAACAACAACGATGAATAACGCAAGTTATCATCAACCAAACGGAAGGTACGAACAACACACACGCTAGCATTAAGACAACAAACTAGCATGCTTAACAACGGGGAAACTCAAGATAGTTCCGAGGAACACACAAGACACTTCTTGGTTCAACGAAACACAAAGTTGAACACTTAGCACGATTCAAGACACCAAAGATCCTACATGGATACCTACCATAAAGCTCTAGACCTACGAAACATCAAGAAGACGCTCAAATAGTTCCACAAAGAATAACGGGAAGTCAAAAGATCAAACACCGAGACAACCGAATCACGGGGAAAAAATCCCGAACCAACTCCACCGTGTTCCCCGCGGGTGGACCCACGGGTAGTGCCCCACCCGTGGTCCCGCCCGCGGGTACACTACCCACAGGGCGACACGTTCCCCGCGGGTAGGCCGACGGGTGGTGCCCCGCCCGCCGTTTCGCCCGCGGGTACGTCCCTGTACCACAACAAATCCCTTTGGGGATTTTCTCCTCCAAACACAAATTCAAGTCCAAAACACACCAAATCTCACCAAACACAACAAAATGACTTGAACCAAGGAAAATGCCAAGCAATGGCACAAAGGAATCATAAACACAAGCTCTAGATATGCAATATCACAAGATAAATGCATAAACTCTCACATTTCATAGCAAAACACAAATAGAAGCCAAGAAATCATATATAGGTAAGCAAAATAGGTTCTGTAGAGCATGGGTTACCTCTTGAAGACCAAAAGACTCTTCTTACACCACAACAAGCTCTCCGCTAAGCTCACTAGCCAAACCCACTTCAAGATCAAACCAAAAGATCATAAAGATCCCACCTTTAAGAAAAGACAACTAAGATGGAACCAAAAAGACTAGACAAGCTTAGATCTTACCCTTCTAGATGCCCAAATAGAGGAAAGATTGAATCTTGGAAGCAAAACTTAGAATCTTGACAAAGGTCTCACTAGGCTTGAAGAACAAGCTACTCTTCTTTTCTAGAGAGAAGGTAGAGATATTTTCTAGGAATTGTAAGGGATGAAAAATGAAGAAGTCTTCTAGGTTTAGGTTACAACACTAGCTTTGGTGAAAAGATAAGGATACCCTTACTAACTCTTAGAAAGTGTAAGGAACAAGGGAACTCCTCTCAAAGCACAAGGTACAACACCACTTAAAGATTGACTAGTCAAATACTAGTCCTTGAGTATCAAAAATCAGGATTTTAGGAATCAATTCCTCAAGAGAAATAGAATTAATTACTCAATTAATTCATGGATTGGAGTGTGGATTTTTGTGGTGTCACACTGTGTTCCATTCCTTGATTGAGTACGGTTTTATATCTTCGTTGTGATCCGTTTATTGATTCCTGTTGAGGTGTGATGTGTGTGTGGCTTTACCTGGATTGCACGATTAGTGGTATGGGACACTAGTCACCAAGGTATTGCAGCGGTCCTTGTGGTGGTCGTGAGGTGATTATGGAGTTGTGACCATTGTGTAAGGTTCACATATTTCTTGGGAGTCATGTGTTGCCGTGTGTGTGTACGGTACCCTCGTGTACTATGAAATCGGTGGTTTTGTTGGAGGGACTGTTGGAGGGGGAACGACGGTTCCCGGAGGAATAAGGTTGGACTTGGTGTACAGGGGTCCTGGAGGTAAAGGTTGGAAATAGATATAAGGTTGGGGGTAGCCATGAGGTTGGAACCGGGCATAAGGAAGGCATATCAACTCGTGATGGGTGATGTCACGAGGGCTTGTGTAGCCGTTGTTGTGAGTTCTTCTCTTGTGACGTGTGTAGTCACAAAGGCAAGTGTTGCCTTGGCATGTGTTGCCTTGGGTGAGTCTTATTCCTTTGCGTTATGCATGTCAGGTTTTGATCTATTGTGTGATGATAGATCATGCCTTGAGTCGTGTTGTTCCTTGTGGTCTTGGGATGTGTTCCCGTGTTGTTGTTGAGAGTGGTGAGTCTTGTGTTGACTATTACTCTTGATTTTGTACTTATATATATGTATTCCGTTTCGAAAATGGCTTTACGACTTATATCTTATCTATGTAGGATATTTCACATGTATTGATGGGTTACCAGCATTATTTGCTGACCGGGCGTCGTCCCATGTTTTATTGTGTTCTTTCAGGTGATGTCTAGACGTGTGCGCGGTCTAATACTTGCTAATATAGCTTCCCCCTTTCGTTTTGTGGCCTGTGTGCCAGCTTAGATGTAGAACTTTGAGACAATGGGTTTAGATGTAAACATTGCATATGTCGCCGGTGCGTTCATCCTTTTGGTGAACGTGGCATAACACCCCGTGTTCCGGATTATGTCTATCTATCTATCTTTCAGTCTTCCGCTGTGTTTGTTGTTTAGTTCAGTTATCTGCATG